TCTTAGAGAAAAACAATAAAGCGCTATAATTTATAAAGTAAAAATGTGGAGTTGCGTCTTTTTGGCTAAGCACGGCAGTACCGCTCTAGCGTAAAAATACTGTTTGTTAATTATGAATTATTTAGGATTGCTTGTTTAATGGTAATTTAGTCCAGGCCAAGCCCAGGCTACTTATGGTTGTTTCAAAACCAATAGTTGGCAAAATTGATTTTTCACGGTTGGTTAGAACTTGCCAAAAGTTTACACTCAAATTCCTATATGTATAAGTAGCCTGGACTAAATTACCAAATTTTGCAATATACTCTTATTATTGAACAATTAAGACTAATATTTTTTAGATTTGCAGTCCACATGTGGAATTGTTGCAAAAAAAACATATTCATGTATACAGATTATGTATTTTATATGTATATATAGATGTATGTATTTTATTTTATATTATATTATTAATACAATAAATAAATCTTATATTCATACTTGTTTTATTTAAAATACAGCAGTAAATACAATATATAAAGGCACCCTACGAAGCATTAACATTCAAATATGGCGCCAATATATGTTACAGAAGTCTACTTTAATTTTTGGCATTGCTAAGGGTATTTTAGACCTAGATGGCGTTAATTTACTTTAGCCTTTTGCCGCTAGCGCTAGTTTAGTTTCCAATCTATGGGGTATATTATCTTTGGGCCAGCCGTTTAATCAAATGTCGCAATGGAAGTTCATTTAAATGAAACAAACAAATTATCCACTGCAGAGGCCTGCCTAATAAACGAATCGCCTCGTTTTTTACCCCTTTATTAACCACGGTACCATATCACATCCAACTGCATTTAAATTTTGTATATTAAAATCTTGCTGCAAAAAATCCACAAGAGACCATTCAATTTGTGCAGTGCTCTCCTTTGGGGTTATGTGACCTGGAACCATGTTCGCTTATTACAGAAATATGCGCTTTTGTGATAAGTTTTCTTTTATGAAAACATACCTCACGTTCTGCTCTGCTCGCTTTGCCCTTCTAATTTTCATTATGTCAATTGTCCTTGTAGAGTTAGGCTTTGATCACAATCCACACAACAAGGTCTGTTCTTCCTCGTTTCGCGCATACTAAAAATCACGTACAGTAGAAACCACGAATATATGAACGTGACTCATCCGGCACATTCGTACGAAGCAATCTATCGAAGGTCACGGTCCAGTGCAGTGCTGTTCTAACGGGGGCATAAGTATTTGTAAAAAATCTTGAGTGTAATGTTGGTTGCTATACTTATGATATATTTGCTTTTAAAGTTAAATTTTAATAATTAACATCTACGATAATTAAATAAAATGTAATTTTCTTAGAAACTAATTAATAAATAAACTTTTCTTTTAACTTTAATGAAATATTCTATCATCTGATGACAGAATGTACACTCGTGGCGACATCTCTGTTTTTAATATCTAACAAATTTTAGACCGATCCAACCTCACTTTCTTCCAATTAAATTCTTTGTCTATGTTATTTTTTGGAAACGTAGAAAAAGTATAGTCTGAAACTCGTTTGGAATTGCATATTCCCCTCTCGTGAAATCTTCAAACTCGCCTTCGGCTCGTGTGACAAACTTTTCACTCGAGCGGAATATGCCGTATTCCAAACTTGTTACAGAATATAGGTACTATTCTTTTAACTGTAAACGAAAATATTTCAGAATTGGTGACAAAAAACAAAAATGTTTACGCAGGGCAGGTACAAAGTAAAAGATATTTAAATTGTGTGGATATAAAAACAACTTGCGTTAGTTTCACGAAATTTATTAAATATTGACAATTTTTTCGCTACACAGTAGCTTCTTCAGAATGTATTAAACTAATACTAGTACAAAATTTATATAATAAAAATATTTTTGTATTCTAGCCTAGAATTTCTAGGTAAGGATTTTTATACGACATCTACCTGTGTTACATAATATAAACCACTGCCACTACAACGTTTAAAACGATTATTAATCCGTAAACACACACCGTTTATTTAAAGTCCAAAAAACGTACAATAACAATTGCAATAAAGTCCAATAAACATGCAATAAAAACCACTAGCACTACAACGTTTAAAACAATTATTAATCCGTAAACACACAGCAGAAACACGATATGCAAAAACAAAGATCATATGACATATAAAAACAAATGGCCGACGGTAAAGTTGGTTGCCTTACTATGTAATAAAATAAAATAAATTGCCTAAAACACGAACTCTACTGAATTCCAAAAAAATAAGTAACAAGCTAGGACCAGAGATATGGAGGTCTCCATATCTCTGGCTAGGACACGCGTCCATCTTTGTCCAACACCTAGGCAGTTTTACATCACAGATGGCGCATTTTAGACCGGATGCTTAAAAACCTACGTGTGAGTACATTTACCGCTGCATCGAATGTACAAGACAAGTAAAACATTACTGCTAGCATGTCTAAGATATGTTCGGCACCCGATGAGTCACGTTCATATATTGGTGGTTTTTACTTTAGCTGGGCAACCCACTGCAAAAAGATTAAAGGCGGCCATTTTTGTTGTTTACAATTTTTATGCTTTGGATTTGTGCTCTGTTTATATAGATTAATAATCGTTTTAAACGTTGTTAGTTTATTGGATTTTATTGACATCAGTTGAGTTTGCTCCTGTGTGTTCCTGTTTGGTTTTATTGACGTTACCAGTGTGAAATTCACACTGTGAATCAGTTGAGTGCGCTCCTGTTTGTGTTGATTTTGTCATTGGCTGTTGACTGTACTAGTGTACTAGTGTACTTTAATTTATAAATATATTTAATATTTATAAATTATAAACACTAATTAGTGACTATAATAAAGAGTTAAAATTTTACACATTGCCCAAAAACTCTTTAAAAGCCAAAGAATGGATTGAGGCTGCTGATAATTCAATGGTTAATATGAAAAAACCAAAGTCTCGTAAGTTCCACTACAATGTGTGCAAAATATAAATATTAATGTATAGTATTTATTTAGATCGAATTTGTGCTATACATTTTGAGCCAAAATATTTGGTAAGGCATCCATACGAGGCCTTACTGAGAATGCTGTTCTAACTTTGCATTTGCCTGAAAGGTAATATTATATTATTGTTAAGTGAAGAGTCTTCAATTATAATAATAAATAATAATACTAATAATAAATAATAAATGGTATAATATTGTTATAACAATATTATACCATTTATTTTTTTATATCTGTTAAATAATTTTCCAACTATGAAATGGTTGTAGATCTACCAAATGAAGCAAATTGTGCCAAAAGGTAATACAAATTATTTGGAATAAAAAACATAATAATATGAATGTTATAAATTTTTAAATTGGCAGTTCTGAACCATTGTATGACCTGCCTAATAATGCCAAATGTTACAGGAAGAGGATAATACAAAATATTAAAATATTTCTGCCCTTTACATATTTTTTTTTTAAATTTATTTGGACATTGGACCTTCTTCCAATGGTAATTTTTAAAATAAAATAAAAAAACAAAAATGTACTAATAAATAATTAATCAATTTTACCAAAAATGTGATATAGATACAATTCAATACCTTTTAACCAGTGGAAACCATAGAAAAAGGTGAAAACTATTATAGTGTAGTAAAAATTAAGTTTTAAATATTCTATTTTATATAAAATTATTATTAGAACGTATTGTTATTAAAACGTATTTATTAAATTTTGTGTTAGTAGTTGACTAGTTAACCCTAATTAGGGATTAAATATGTTACCAGTATGTTTTGGTATTCTTTTATCAATTTAAATATGCTAAATTGTATTATTTTATAAGCATGAAGAAATATATTTATTTCGTTAAATTATATGCAAAAATTTAAGTGTATTTAAAAAATACTATTTATGTTTAAGTTTATTAATATTTATTTTGATTATTTTTTATTAAAAATATATATTATATTTTTTTGTTTTGTTTATATATCTACTTACTAGAAATCCTACCTTCATCATTAATAATTTCCGTACTTTCAAAAATTAATTTACTAAAAAATTATCAATTTGCAGTACTCAACTAGCTAATATTAGCTAGTTGAGTACTGCAAATTGATAATTTTTTAGTAAATTAATTTTTGAAAGTACGGAAATTATTAATGATGAAGGTAGGATTTCTAGTAAGTAGATATATAATTAAGACATATACATAATATATATTATGTATATGTCTTAATTAAATTATTTTGATTTATATTACTTTATCTTAACTTTTAATTTCTAAAAAAATCATCGACTATGGTCGGGTAAATCCATTTTTTCTTGCTAAAATACTTTCATCATTGATAATTTTATTTAAAGATTTTAGAGATTGCCAATAATCAATTTTTTAGAAAATGTATTAAAAGTTATAAAAATTATTATTAAGTATTAAAAAAATTATTGATTACCATATTGTAAAATAATGTTTAATTTACTCGTAAGTAAGTATACTTATACATAATAGTGTACCTACTTGTGTTTATTTTAATTAACACATTTCTGTTTACCTTAAAACTTGAAACAACTATATTTGCTTGCTCAAAATACCTTTTTATAAAGATATCTTTAATAATTTATTAATTAAATTCCCCAATTAACATATTTTTGTCAAAGCTTTTGTTTAAAACAAACATATGCGTTTACATTAAAACTTTAAACAACTTTTTATTTTTAAATTAACAGCAGCAAATAAATCAAAGATGGTGGCCATTAAACTTTTACGTGGTGCGCATAACAGTCCTGATTTTCGTTCGCATTTTATCGAGGAAGAACATACCGCACATGGGCGACAACAGTGTCATAAGTAGTAAAACGAAAATTCCGATATAAGTTTACGTAAAAGATTTTTAAATAATAAAATTCTGACATTTTTGTAAAATTATATTAACTTACAGTGTAAGTTAATATAATTTTACAAAAATGTCAGATTTTTATTATTCAAAAATCTTTTACGTTAACTTATATCGGAATTATCGTTTTACTACTTATGACACTGTTGTCGCCCATGTGCGATATCTTGTTGTGTGGATTGTGGCTTTGATAATATTCCAATATCTTCCAAAACAGCCTTGGCGATTATGGCTGCTGTGCAATCTGATACTCCGGTTCTGTCTTTCATCAACGGTCGAGTTCCTAAATGACGGCATATCTTGTATTTTAACAAATGAGCAGATGCCTTGGCATATGCCAATTCGTTTCGCTTTGTAACTACTTGATCTATGGTTCTAACAGAAAATGTTGCTCTCTGACATGTACTTTTTTGGTTTTCTCACATTTGCAGTTTTCAAAACTGCACTTGCAAAACGCCACACCAAATAAATTAGACGCTTCTTTCCTTAAAGCTGTAAATTATAGTTAAATGGTTTCAGTAGTTTTTCTGCATTTTACATTCTTTTGAACCTTCTATAACGTTCGTGAAAACATTTTAACATGTTCCATATGCGACGCCGAGAAACGGTTGGATTGACGCACTCTGCCAAATTTCTTCTATTTTTGGTATCACGATTTTCATTATCTTACAAACACTCGGATATTTGCGGTTATTTTTATATTTTAATTTATGCTGAATTTATAAATAATGTAACATGACATCACAGTAGGTACGTAACACACGATTATTTAGTAGTTTAGGGTGAAATTTCACAAAATATTTCACTTCTAGTAGTCGTATGGTCATGTTATACAATATTTTAAATAGCGTGTTATAACGTTGACAACTGCCAGTAACAGTTAGCAAAGCAGGTTATTTGCGCCTCCACTACTACGGTAAACGCTAAACTATACTAGATATGCCAAATTAAGGGCTGGTGAGGAACTAGAAGACATTGAAATAAAACGATTTGGTTTGGGGAATATTTGTAACACGCTTATTAGGCATTTTAAAGTCTGTGACGAACAGATCTTGTTGATTTATTTAAATCGCTGCGACACAGAAAGCTTAACAAAACGTGAAATTCTTAACATTTTAAGTCCTATGAGGAACCTGAAGATATCAAAATACGCCAACCTGCTTTTGGGAGTCTCAGGTTAAAATAACAAATCTTTTTATTTCTTAAATAAATTAAGTTTTAATAAACTAGAAAAAGTTTAAAAAAATATTAATATTATATAAATTGCACCCTTGTATCTTAAAAAGAAATAAAGGTTGTATATTTGTTGAAACTTTTTAATATGTAATTTTTTACGGCCCATATTTCCCACATTTAGTAATATTTGAGTTAAGCTTATGTTTCTAAAAAATCTCTGAGTACCTAATTAAATACTTATTGATTTACATGACTCCATTATTTCGTTAATGCATTACGCATGTTCAATTGTTCTAATACTGTTATGCGTGTTTATTTAATGACAAGAGCACAACAGATTGATTATTTAAATCAATACAATTTTCTATATAAACACTATTTTTTTTACATTGGTCTAAATATCTAGTCTAAGAAACAGTAAATGGACAAATGTTAAAGGTCATGTGTAATTTTAGTTTTTATGCGCATACAGTATTAAAAAATATTTTTTTTTTGTATTTATTATTTCCTATCTATAAAAAAAACTAAATTTAATAAACAATACCACTTTATATTGTTTTTTAATTGGTAAATTTATATTTTCTTCATATTTATAACTGGCATATATGCCATAAAATAAATTGTAAAGATAAAACAATAATTACATTACCATCTTTATGTTTTAGTCTTAGTTCGATTTTATAAGTTAATGCCTTGACATAACCTATTATAAAAATTTGTATTTGTTTTGTATTTGCGTGGATAGTAATAAAAACTGATTGCCGCAAATTTAAGTAGAAAGAAAAGGCTCAAAAAAGCAGATTGTCTTTCTCATTTTTTTATGGAAAATTTCCTTATAAACATTAAATGTTCAGAATTTTAACGCCTGCATAAATACTGTATACTAAGTAACTGACTGGCGAATTTGATTTACATTTAATGTATCCAGACCTAAATACTTTCACAGTGACTAGAGGCACGCTAACGTACCGCGATTGGAAATATTAAAGGCACGTTAGTTACGTCATAATTATAATCCGTTTTTGTTCCCTGTCCATTTAATATTTGACATCAAGCTAAATAGCTTATATGGTAGGGCGTTCGCTTGGCATGCGAGAGGTCCGGGGTTCGAAACCAAGTAGCAGTCGAATTTTTTTTATTTTTTTATTTCATAAATTTGTTGTTTCTTTGTTAAACAGTGTTCGGTTGGGTTGGGTTGGTTGGTTTGTTTTAGTTTTATCGTAACATAAAATCTACTAGAAGTTGTCGAACTTTTCTTATTTCATAAATATGTTGTTCCTTTGTTAAAAAGTGTTTTATTTTTATCGTAACATAAATTTGCCCATTTTAGTTGGGTTTTTTGTTCAATGGGGCGGGGGGGGGGGGCAATGGGGCGGGGTCGGTTGGGTTGTGTTGTTGAGTTTGGGATGGTTTGAGTTTATGACGTAACTAACGTGCCTTTAACATTTCAAATCGCGGCACGTTAACGTGCCTGTAGTCACAGCGAAATACTTTACTATACTTAACCTTAAAAAATAGTGTTTGCTAAAAAAGTGACTTTAGTCAAGTTACTTTTGTATATAAAACTTTTTTTGTATATTAATAACATATGTCCTTTTCCACCAGATCCTGGGACAAAATATTTTTGGTCGCAAGGTATATTATTAATATTAATATAATATTACTTTTGATCAATTAATCATAAAAACCTTATGAGAGAACTTTGAGTTAATAGTTAAGATCCACAATAGTCTACGAAAGCTAATAATATCACTATTTAAAAAAAAATTTGGAAGATTATATATTTTTTAAGTTGAAAACGCCAAATGTACCAACGTGGGCAAAAACTAAAGTATAAATATGTCCATAGTTATTATAATAATGAATAATTAACTTTTTACTTTGTAATTTTATTGATATATATTCGGATATCCTTGAACAAAATGTATTTATACCAGAGCATACGTGTAATTATTTTGCATAGTTATCAATGGTATTTCAAAAATAGTTTGTACACTTTGATAAGTCTAAAGTTTATATTAACGGAGCACTTTATAATAAAATAAAATTTAGTTTTTACCTGTCCTGTAATAGTAAATAAAAACACAAGTAGTAATCTAAGTGGCCACTTTGCTTTATACGCTCTATGGGACCATAGCCTATGGGCTCCTGCAGTGATACCAAATCCTGATATGTATACCATGAGAAGTACTAAAACCAAATAAAAAATATTATAACATAATTAAATATAATATAAAAAACAAAATGTCCGTTTTAGTTTTAATTTAAAGATTTTATAAAAAAGGACTTTTTTAAAAAAAATTACTAGGTTTTTAGACGTTTCCTTTTAGCTCATTTTACACATAACGAGCGTTTTTACACGTTCATCTCTTTAAAATACTGTAATTTGTATCAATTCTAATTTGTAAAGTATTATTAGGTAAAAATTGTTTGTATGACCAAATTAAAACCAAAGATTAAATTTACTTTATACAGTTAAAAAAGACTCATGACTAAAAGTGGACTTATCTCAAGCAGTTGGGACGGTTGACCTTTAAATGTATTTACTGATAAAAGTAGGGTTTGTCTACGCCCTTATGTTTACCCAAAGGTGATGAATAGAGAAAAAGTGGCCAGGAGCGCTTGTCCTTTCTGTTGTAGTAAAATAGGTTTATGATAATTGTAGGTACAATAGAACATGCAAATTTTACATGCATACATTTGTGTTGGTAAATAAATTATTATTATTATTATTTAAAATAATACATAATACATTTTAAAATACAAATTTAAGTTTTTACTTTACCAAAAATAATTAATTTGATTAACATTAATGATTTAAACATTTTTGGATCGATAGTTTTAAAGTAGAATTTTTTGTAAAATTTAGCAACAATTTTGGTGGTACTTTTAAAAAATCATGGTTAGTTTTTTGTAGTATATTTTTCCATATATTGCATTTTACTTGGACGGATGTCTAAGATCTAACCCTGTTTACAGTTTTCTTCAAATCAATATTTAAACAAGTTATCGCTTTATCGAATAAATATGTATTCAAAACCTAGACAAATTTAATTTTTTCTTAGTAATTTGTATAGTTAAACCACATACAGTTAAACAATCAATATAACAATCAAATACAACTCTTTTATGAATCACACGAGAAACCATTTTATATTGTACTAAAGTTCTAGCCGCAAAATAAATCAATTGATTTAAAAATAAACGTGAACTTATTAAAAGATCAACAATGCAACTTAAATATTCGGTACAATTCTACACTCTAAGAAAATATATTGTAATCCCTAACAATATAGATTTGTTATGCAAAATATGGTTCATTTAATTATAATTTATGGTTGTAATAACAATATACGTAAAATTAGTTTTGTTATATGTACTCTAATCATTTTGTTATAAAAATTTAGTAAAGTTAGATATTTGATTAGGCTATTATAATCATCATGTACGGCTAAACTGTTAGTACTACACTAGATGGTTAAAATTATAAGATTATCTGATTACAATAACAATATAATGTTGTCACACATTATTAACAATATGTCGTTGTAGTTTTTACTATACAGAAAGTTTATACATATCATACGTATAGTATATTTAACCATATAGAGGGTTATAAGGTATTTGCATATGATTATTATAACTAAATAAATTATTGTTTTGTGCAACAACAAAAATATAGTTAAAGTGACAATAAAACTGTTACAATATAAACATGGTTAACATAACAGTAAATATGGCTGTGCCTATACTAATCAGAATATTTAGTAAAAGTTACTATATATTTGATTAAGATAACCATTGTTTTTTTTCAGTGTATGGACGCTAAATTATAATAGATTTTAACAATGGTTTAACAAACACTCCCGCAGACGGCCAGCTGGGGGCCTACATTGATAAATGGCCGACCCCCATTCAAAACTCGTTTTAGAGATGGGCCCCTGAAAACGTTTGCGGGGGGCTTTCAGTTTATTTTACGCCACTGCTTTGGTACATTCACATCTTTCTGTAGTTTTCACACGTTTAATTTGTCTTTTGTTTTATTATGATAATAAAAAAACATGTTTATGATTTAAAATAAAACAAAATTCAATGAATAAACCATATTTATATATACCAAAAATATAAATCCATTTTATTTGAATACTGCTACTATTTTCATAACAGGAAATGAGATTTTCGCGAAAAAAAAATCATTTTTTGACCCCTTAAACTGAATTACTCTTTAATGTATTTAGGACGTCATACCCTGCTGAAACAAAACAGGCATGTGCGGATGAAAACCAAAGCTGGTTTTATGTCCGGTTATGGCTTGTAACGATGTAGGACATCTATAGATGTCGGGTAGTAAAGAAGGAAAATCGTCTAATATATTAGACGATTTTCCTTCTTTACTACCCGACGTGAAGGACAGAGTTTAATTACCAGAACCCGGCAGTTTAAATAAATCCTAACAGATGGCGCTATGGTCAAATGTCAAAATTTCAAGAAAAAAAAATATATCCACGTTTTGTGGCCACGACTTTTCAACGCGGCCCCAATGATGGTTTTTGTGACCTATTGTCACCAAAACTTTGACTATAAAACCGCTGCACTTTTCAATGGTGTTATCAATATTTTGAACCCAAAACCAAGACTAACCCACAGAGTACTCAGTAAGATATTATCAGTAAGTTGACCTGTTCTAAGATTCCAGGGCCATATGCTGTAATGAACACAGTTAATAAAATTGTAAATCCTGTATGCCTAAACATAACCTAACAATATGTATTTCTTCCAATTGAAAACCTTCTTTGTCTCTCTGTAAAACAAAAAAAACCCTACCGTTGCCTGCCCGTGGCCTTTGGAAAGCCCTGGAACATTTGCCTGACTTGATCGAAGACTATAAAATTGTGTTCGAAGTCTACGAAACTTTTGTATATACTGTATATGATGATTATATGATTTTGTACATATATTTATCTTGATTAATATACCAGTTTTTTTTTGCATTTTAAATTAAACCACCAACCCTGACTGATTCTCGTAAACTCTATTTTCTCCACTGAATAAAATCAACCCGAGGTAGGTATTCCTCTGTATCTGGAGAGTCAACTAGAGAGAAACCTTGGTAGAGTAATTAAGGTAATAAATCAGCCTAGGTACGACACAGGCTGCCTTTGCCTGTCATATCTAATTTTACCCGTCACCTCGGATTCCATCTGCAATACCAAGTGTTAATATCACCCGCAAACGTCCGGCATTGAAGTTATGATTTTACTCGCGATTGCCTGCATTTCGTCTATGTCTGCATTCATCCGATTTTATCTGAAAATGTCTGATTTTGTCCGTTTTTATCCGCGATCATCTGCCTCTTGTGCTATGTCTGCATTTATCCGGTTTTATTTGCAAATACCTGCATTTTATTCTATCTCTAAATTCATCCGATTTTGTCCGAAAATGTCTGATTTCATCCGGTCTTGTCTGCTTTTCGTTCGATGTCTGCACTCATCCGGTTTTATCTGCAAATTTCTGATTTCATCCGGTTTTATCCTCGATCGCCTGCATTTCGTTCGATGTCTACACTAATCCGGGTTTATCTGCAAATGCCTGAATTTGGTTTTTTTATCTCTGCATTCATCTGGTTTTATCCGCGATTGCCTAAATTTCGTTTTATGTCTGCATTAATCTGGTTTAATCCGCAAATGCCTGCATTTGGTTTTAGGTCTTCATTCGTCTGGTTTAATCCGCAAATGCCTGCCTGAATTTCATCCGGTTTTATCCGAATTTACCTTTCGTTTTAAGTCTGCATTCATCCGGTTTTATCTGAAAATACCTGCATTTGGTTTTATGTGTGCATTTATTCGATTTTATCCGGAAACGTCTGAGATCTGGTTTTATATACAGGGTGTTAAAAAATGGGAAAAACATTAAATCCAAACATTTTATAAGAAAAAGGTGTTTGTAAATAAAACAAAAGTTACGACGAAAATTATAAAGGTGATTTTTTTTAACTTATAATTTCTGTCGTTATTTTTGTATTTTAAGACTTTATTTTTAATTACAAACAAATTTTTCTTATAAAAATAAAGATATTTCACTCTTTAATCGATTTCCAAATTTTTGAATACCCTTTAGATTTAATTTCCCTATATCTATAGGGTGTAGATACAATCCAAAATCTTTTTATGCCAAGGCAATGTCAAACCTTTTATCAAGGATAAGTTTTCTTAAAAAAACAAAAAATAAATAAGCAAACGTGACCTAAAAAAAATTGAGGGTTTACCTATAAAAACGGATTTGGGCAGGTAAAAGCCAATAAAACCGGATAAAAGCACATATTTGCGGATAAAACCGTATGAATGCAGACCAAAATCAAATACAGGTATTTGCGGATAAATCCAAATGAATGCAGACAAAATATGAAATGCAGCCAAACGCAGATAAAATTGGACGAAATCAGACATTTGCGGATAAAACCAGATGAATACAGACATAATAATGATAAAAATGCAAATATACAACCAAATACCTGTATTTGCAGATAAAACCGGTTCAATGCAAACATAAACAAAATTTTTGTAGAGCCAGGCAAAACCGGATGATTGCGGATAATTGTCGTTGGTGCACTAACCGAACCGAAAAACAGGTAAAACCAGAAGTTCGCAGATGGAGCAGACATTTAAGGATCATTCCGGACAAAAGCTGACAAAATAAAAGCAGACAAACGCGGATGAAATCAGACTACTAACCGAACGTTTCCGGATGTAGGCATGGATGTAAGCATTTGCGGATCAAATCGGACGAAATCAGACAAACAAAAAGCAGGCAGACGAAAATAGACAAACAATTGCAGGCAAGCGTGGATAAAACCGGACGAAAACAGACATTTGCAGATGAAACCAGATGAAAGCAGGCATAAAACTAAATGTAGGCAAAATCAGATGATTGCGGATAATTTACGTAAGTATATTTAATTTACGCGCGCACTCAATATACATTTCACCGCTATTTTTTAACGGTAAGGATTTATAAGCAAAGGCATGTGTTACTTTGGTTCGCTGTTTTTAAAAGGAAATGGCTTTTATAAGTAGCGGTGTATCCATGCACTAGTTTCACTCAACCATAAGTTGGTAGATCTATTTTGTTATATAGTTATAATAAAACGACGAAAGCAGATGTTTGCGGATAAAACCAGATGAATGCAGGCATAAAACTAAATGCATGCAAAAGCCGATGATTGCGGATAACTGACTGTGGTACACTATAGTTATAACTGTACGAAAACAGGCAAAACCGAATGATCGCAGATGTAGTAGGCATTTGCGGATCAATCTTGATAAAAACCGACGACGAAGAGTAGGCAAGCGCGGATAAAAGTAAACCAAAATAGACAAACAAATAGCAGGAAACCGTAGATGAAAACAGACAAAAACCGGCGTTTGAGGATGAAGCCGGATAAATGCACACCTGAACGAAATTTTTGTACAGCCAGGCAAAACCAGATGATTGAGGATGATTGACGATGGTGCAGTAACCGTGCGAAAACAGGTAAAACTGGACGTTTGCAGATGCATCAGAACAAAAGCCGACGAACAAAAAGCAGGCCGATAGCATAATGTACATATACAATATTTATAAACTAATGGTAAAAATTATGAAAAAGTCTGTGGAGAACCTGCAAAACCTAATAAACCAAACTGAAAATTGGTTCAACAAATGGAGATTAAAACCAAATCCCAATTCGTTATATTTAACCACAAAATTAACACTCCATATTTCATATTATATAATCAACACATTTCACCCGTAAACAACACTACATACCTGGGTCTGCAGCTGGACAACAATTCTAATCTCAATACCCAAACGGCAAAACAAAAAACAGTCGCAAGAGACAAACTTTTTACAGGACTAAACAACAGATGGGGAGAAATAAATATGAAAACTGCAGCTATCATGTACAAAGCCATTTGCCGCCCTCTTCTGGAATACTGCCACCCAGTTTTATTAAACTGTCGAAAACCAGCCCTAAATAATATTGCAACTGCGGAAACAACCCTAAGAACAATCTCCAAACTCCGCAACCCCCTAAACCCTCCTCACAACCCTCCCAATGGCCTTCTTTATCAAAAATTAAAAATAAAAGTTCCAATTCTTGAAAGATTAAAAAAATCTTTCAACTAAGTTTGCTGCTAAAGATCACAACATCGAGATACTAACACAATTATGCTTCACCAGATAAGTCGATGAAAACGCCACCAAATTCCCGGAATAAACAATATTGGAAATAATCCTACAATTGTCTAATAATAATTAACCTTTTTTTTGTATATCACTTAAAGTATGGTGTAACAGGCTGAAGGACCGATGGCCTTTTGTATATTTTGTATTTTATTGTTCTATGTGTACTCAATATATATAAAAACTTTATTTATTTATGTATTTATGCATAAAAAAAATTAGCGCTCATCTAAAAAATGACAATTTGAAGATATAAATTAAATTTGCGCTGCCTTTGTCACTGTGTTATTATAACAAAAATAAATATATTTTATAGTAAAGCAAAGGTTTCTAAAATAAAATTAATATTTATATTTTTAAAATTATATTAAATAATGGAATACCTTGTAAAATAATGAAATTCGACACTTAACTATAGGGATAAGTTTCACTGTCCAATTCCGTTTAAGCTAAAATTTACACCAAATTGTAGCTTGAAGTATTACTAATAAAGCTATATATGGTTATTCTGCCAGGGGGCAGTTTATACAATGCTGCGCGCTGACATTTTTTCGTTTAAAAATCTTAATGCTCTCTCTTCCTACAACGTTTTAACTTTTATCTTATAATAAATATGTTAATAAATGGGTGTATACTGATTTTAAATACTTTTTCAATTGTTTTTAATACGATAGATAAAATTTAATACAAATTAGTTGAAATAATTATTAATTCCATTTCTTGTAGGTAGGTAGTTAAATTATTTTTGTAGATTACCTAGGTGTTTGTAGTGAAATTCCTGAACTGTAGGTACTATATATAAATAATTATTGATTGAATAATTATTAATTATAATTAATACTAATTAGTTAAAGTACCTTGTATTAGGTACTTTTTGATTTATTAAAGTTAAATATTTAATAAGTAATTACGTACCTGAATAATAATATAAATTAACACGAATACATTATAATAAACCATTCTTATAGTGTAACCGTTTGATTTAACATGGCAGAAATTAAATATTTAGATTTAGTTACTCTTATATATGATAATGATTACGATCTCGAAAAAGTACTTCTGCATATAAAGTTGAATCATGGACTTAATAAACAATACGATGAGGACGATACGAGTTTAAGATTACAAACATTTATTAGTCAAGTTAAGGATCGATCAGGCACAACAGGAACTATTTTATAAAAAAAATTGAGAGTTGGTTGGAAAAGAGTTTCAGTATTTTCATAAAAGGTAAATGTGAAACACCAACATCAATATCACCTAAAAGATCTACCAAGTTTTTTATGGAATCCAGCGAGAGGACGAAAAGGCGTAAATGTTTACAAATAAGGGAGAATATTGGTATTGACGAAGTTAATTTTTTGTATAAGAATACATTAAATATCAATAAAGAAAATATACCATCTACTAGTACTTAAGGAGAAATTCAGCTATCAGCACTGACTCTTGGATTTTAATTAATTAAAAGCAAGGTATATGATATTACGAAAAATTGCAAAATGCCTGAATTTTAATTTATTTCCAGCGTATGAACATATTCTAAAATCCAAGGGTAAATGTTATCCTGGATATATAACTTCGACCGAAATTGACATCCGGACAGAGATAATATAAGCAAACATTCTCAAGCACCTCCACTGCAACCGATTCCAGTATATTTATGAGTTCAATGTGTGTTCGGGGCTTGTGTTCGTAAACACGTGCCTTGAGGTGACCCCACAAGAAATAGTCGCATATGGATAAATCAGAGGACCGAGGAGGCCAGTGAATGTCACCGAACCTGGAAATGACGCGACCAGGGAAGAGAGGGCGAATGACTGCCATTGATGCATTGGCTGTGTGGGCTGTTGCTCCATCCTGTTGAAACCACACACGCCGGATCGGTATTAGTCTTCGTCGTAATTCGGGCAAAAAGAAGTTGTTGAACATTTTGATATTGCGCTCCGAGTTAGGTAACAGCATTTCCATTATCGTTTTCGAAAAAATATGGGACTATGCAGCGGTCTTTCATGTAATGTTCTCGGATTTACCTCAGCCCAATAACGGCAGTTCTGTTGATAGCGGGCCCGCTAGG